CTAAAAAAACATAATCTTCAAATTAATTTAACCAATACTAATATAATTAATTTTAATAAGTTACGAACACAAACAGTTGACGTAGATTATAACGGACAAATTTTGCGAAACAATACCAATATGACATTTCTAGGATTAATTGTAGACCAAAAGATGAATTGGAAGGACAAAATGTGTACTAAAATAAATGGGTTTGCGTTTGCTCTCTACAAATTGTCAAAAGTGGCGAATAAATGCACGGCTTTGACAGCCTATTTTGCGTATATTGAAACGTATCAGGTCAGTATCATAATATGGGGCAACGGCACAGACTTTGGGAAGGGTTTTTATCGCTCAAAAGCGTTGTATACGGGCTATCTTCAACGTAGCGCCGTATGTCTGCACTTCAAAACGTTAAGAGTATTGCCCCTCTCATGCCTGTACATACTCGAAGTTGGTATGTATATTTGTGAGATGAAATCTATCAAAACCCATAATAGCGAAGGACGTAACTGCCAGAAACCTAAGGAACCCCAATAGAGTGATACTTGGTACAATACCCAAAACAAAACGTTTTCAAAATAATTCGTACGTTATGTGTGGAAATTTTTTTAATCATATACCAGATCGCTTTAAGCTTCTTCCATTGACTAGTTTTAAAAACGAATTGCGTAGGTGGCTCTTTAATCATGTGTTCTACTTAGTTGACGAATTCATGAAATATAAGGACTAATTAATTGATGCATATATTTTCCTTTACAATTTTTTTTTACAATTATTATTATTTTAAATTATGACGTACACGATTATGACATCTCGCATTAAATCAATGAACTTTAATTTATTAATTTATTATCTAATTATTGTTTTTACATTTAGTCTTGATCTATCAGTGTATTATTTGATTATTGTATTTGCATGCTTTTATTTAAGAAGGCCGAATAGGTTTAAGTGCTGATTTAATTTTTACCATCAACCGTACCGTACCCTATTTGAAGCGAATAAATGAATTATTATTACTTTCCTTAGGGGACGCCATCTGTCGATCAAGGTGAAAAGAAGGTGGTTCGTTCCGTGGCTTAGTTAGTATAGCGTCTGGCACAGTATGCTAGAAGACGTCGGTTCGAATCGAAGGAATTTTTTCTGAGTGTTCGATCTTTGTATTAATAATTATAACAAACTAGTGGAGTAATTTCACGAAAAAAAAAATGAATATCAATTCAATAAAAAAATAAAAAACAGTGAATAGCAACATTTCTCGCCAGGGCCGGTAGCTGTAAAGGTATCTAACTGGGTGATAAAACTTTGATATATTTCTTATAGATGGCGTTACGACTAAAAAGCCATCTTTTGTTACAGTATTGAACTATATAGCTCAACTATTCGGCTTGCATACTGTGGCTGGCTGGCTATACTACGACAATGCGCGCAGGATGTAGCGTTTTTCAAAACGATATCTAACCGCTGTATTTTTGTTCCAGTCATGCGCTATCCATTACAGCGGCCTCCTTCTAGCAATAACACCCTGTATCTCTCACTTACAACAATACTCAAACAAATCAACTACCTTAGAAATCATCAAATACCTAATTTCATCAAGGCCGCTCTTACCCGTGGCATGTGCAGTATTGGTATTGATAAGAAACGTAGATGCTGAAATTGTGAATGAGCTTTGCCCACGAGTCAGTGGGGGGAACCTTAAATTGGACTACGATCAGGGCGTTTTATTATATAAGAAAGGTAAGCGTAACACCTGGTATTAGAATACAGCCTGATAATTTATTTAATTATAGTTCTTATTCCGTTATTTCATTTCGGCATATTATGCTTTCATGTTCCATTAAATTTCATATTTCGTTATCTTGTTATAATTATTAATACACGTTACCTTGTTGTTCATTCATATTATGTCATTCATTCATTACTTCATTTTGGAATTTATAACTATATTTTATCACTTTCAATCACGTAATCTCTTTCAATCACGTAATCTCTTTCATAAACCTTTTCTGTCTACTGCATTCGCAACGGGGTATTTTTTTTAAGAATATCAAGTGACGGGACGAACGACTCGTGCGCCTAATGGTAAGCTACACGCCTGTCCATAACAGTTGCAGTGCCACTCAGAGCTTTAAATCGCAAAGATCTGAGTGGCATTGCCACTGCGTCCGACACCCTGAGACATAAGTTGACAAGCCCCATGTGCCTGTAATTTCACCAGCACCCTTCAAGACCGGAACGCAGTAATGCTCACTACTGCTTGGCGGCAGAAATAGGTAACATGGCAGTACTTCCCTGGACGAACTCTTTTACAAGCTACTGTGACTACTTTCATATTTGTTTTCTCAGTCTAATTTCGGTGACAAGTTCTGTTATTTAAATATTGTAGAATATTATCATGAAGTATTATTTAATATTCAAGTGTAATAACCTGAAGTATTATTTAATATCTCACGATAATTTACTCGAACTTTTGAATAAAAAAAATCGCCACCAAAATTAGGTAGAAAAAACTTACCTGAAAATTACGCTATTTATAAGTAGGAACTTATTGTATGTACCTTAATCTGTTACTATAAAGTGAGTGACATATTTTTTTTAGACTCGTGTTACATACAAGTATTGTTAAAGCAAATCGAGGCAGCACTGAAATGCATCGAGAAGCAAAACCTAAGACAGCACGGCGTCATGGTGGCGCAGAACCTTGTCGAGTTTTATTCGAGTTTCAGGGATAACAGGGATTTTAATCAAGAAAAAGTTAAGTAAGTTCAAGAACCAAAATTTGAATATGCACGATATACATTTGTTGTTACTGGATATAATACCCTTTGTACAGCGCAACAGCTACATATAGCTTTATAATAGGGCTATGTCAGTGTTGCCATATATTTATTTTTTAACACTCGTAACTCCATAAACAAGAATTTCTTTGGAAATGAAACTATTTTTCCGGATTTAAAACGCGTGTATTTGTTTTTTTCAAACAAACCGACTTTTCGGGCCCCTTACTCGATCTCCGTCCGACATCCGTCCGAAACAATTACTGTCAAATAAGTAATATTCGACAAAATTAAAAGACAAGTATCGAGTATGACGCTTCATTTGCATCACGCGTCTTTTCATTTGGTCAAGTATTGCTTATTGGGCAGTAATTATTTCGGACGGATATCGGACGAAGATCGAGAGTAGACCCCCAGGTCCCATGGTCACGGTTGATTGAGGTGGTACAGTCTTCAACAAGTTATGTCTAATATTGATGCAAACCATCCTATTTTTTACTATAGTTACAGTAGTTATTAATTAAATACCTTATAATTTTACAAAGAAAACATTCCAATTTACGCTTATTACATTAAGTTTTACAAATTATTTTATTGAATCAATTTTTATTAAGTTCAATTTATTATTAATAATATTAAGTATTTATTATTAATAATAAATTGAACTTTTATAATTTTATCCTGTTGGTATACCCTTGAAATTGAAAATTCAATTATTGTTGAAAAAAATCTATTGTAGTTATTCACCTATCATTGCAAGTTACAACGTTTTTATTTTATATTGGAATTTTAATTAATGTGCTTCCATCTAGCGGTCAATAGCTGAACGACGACGAATTCGAGATGTTTACCTAGTTCCCCAAAATAGCCGCCATATTACAGCGGTATGAAGTTTATTTTCGTTTCTTGTAACAAAAACAAAAATTATTACCTACGATAAACAGAAAATTCCATATTTATTAAAATTAAATTAAATAAGACTTAATGATGACATGAAACACCACCATGGCTAATAATAAATAAATAACGCACACACTCAACATAGCCCCGCACTAGGGAAACCCTGTGTCGCGGGTGCCATGGACACACACATAAACAACCACAAATTACACCCAAACTCACGAGAGAAATAATTGTAGGCCATACAACTATTTCTCCCGGCCCGGGAATCGAACCTGGGACCTCTGCGTGGCAGTCCGGCATGGTAACCGTTCGGCCACAGAGGCAGTTAATAATGTCATAGGTGAGACTATTATATTTGCAGAATAAGGCATTTTTCAACGAAAGTTTTACATACAAACAACTTACTTGGTACTTGGTGCAACGGGCTGGTTTCCGCAACTCGACGACAAAGCGCCTATTTTGCGTGTGGTACATACAAACAAAGCGAACGGACTAAATTCAAGTGCTGTTGACACACGTACCGCACTCGCGAAGCACTTCTGCTGTATTTATTGTTCTGTGGTTAAATCATTAGGCTACAGCGGCTTTTCGTTTGACCTACCGCCTACTATTACACCTGTTGTAGCTTATTGCATGAAAAATATCAAGGTAGTGTTTTTGAAGAAATATCCTACCGACCAGTCGTCAAAAGTGACAAAAGTGAGCTTCAGACTAAGTATAATGTTGCCAGAAGTTTTTAACTAAAAGCAAGTAAATTTCTGTACGCGGACAATACAAAACTTAAAAAGTGATGATTTTTTTTTACTCTTAACTGTTGAAGTAAATAATACATGTATATAAATCGAAAACAACGACAGTACCACAAACACCTAGAACTCTAAACAATATAGAAAAGTTACTTTTCTACACTGGCCGGGGATCGAACCCGGGACCTCAGAGATGGCGACACCATAAAGACCGGTGTGCAGTCGACCACGCAGGCGATCATGTGCGACAAATATCACTAAATAGTGAAAAAAAAAACGATTACTTTGACAACACCATCTTGATAGCGTATTTACCTCAGTTTAGTAAAATATAACTATTGGCATGCTGCTTGAGTAGCTTGTCTTATTGATAATGGAAGAAAAATTTAGTTTTCCTTTGGCAAAATCATGTCTATACTTACTTCAATGGCGCAGTGACCCAAAGTGGGTCTTGGCCTCCGACACCAGATTCTGCCACTCGTCCCAGTCCTGGACCCCGATTCAGAACTCTTCGATATCTTAACCGAGTCGTTCTATTGGATATCATTCTCGAATCGAAAGACGCTTTCCGAGCTTTTCAGAACAATCGAGATAAAACGTTCGATTCGGATTCGGATACGATATCGTTATCCAACAGCGTTTATGGAGTTAGACGTCGAATATAGATTACAAGAAAAATGAAATCCTTTTTTATACATTTTTAAGACTTTAAAGGCCTACAATTTCCTATATTTTGTTTGCATTAGTCTCGCATTAAAATAAATTAATAAAATTGAACAAAATCCAGATTTTATTTAAAATAATAAAAGATTTTCATATCACGTTCTTGCTTTGTAAACAATGTTGTATTCTGAATAACGTTTGTAGCCTTTGCCGGTCGAGAAGTACGAGTACGGGTGTGACAGACGTCACGACGTCTGATGTCGTATTTGGTTCGAATACGACAGTTTGACGTTCGATTCGGTTATTGTGAATAAAAATGAAAAGAAATCGTACGATATTTAATCGAATCGGTCGACAACAGAGTTATCGTAAGGTTCTGAATCGACCTGCAGAGCCTGCTGCTTCCAGCCACTAGCCACTAGACGTCCTTAAGACCTTTCAAGACTTCATCGCTTCAGCGGTACCTGAGTCGTCGGACCGGTCTTTTCGGTTGTCCCAAATAAGCCCTCTTCGCGGCACGATCTTCTCCCATTCTCTCCACGTGTCCGAGCCAGCGGAGTCTCGCAGCTTTTGTGTCTCACACAATATTAGGCGCGGACATTAGATGTTCAATCTCAAGGTTTTTCCTTGCCCTCCAGCTCCCATTGAGTCGGTCTCAGAATTTTCCGTAAGATTTTGCTTTCCGTCACTTACTTATTTTCCTCTTTCAAGGTCAGTGTCCAAGCTTCGCAACCGTACATTAAGATCGATCTAATTACAGTTTTGTAGACACGGATTTTTGTGCGTATGAGCTTGGACACCAGAACCTTGTGGAGAGCAGTCGTACACCTGGGGGCGTACTGAATCCGAACTCATCAACCATCTCAATCTTATATCATGTCTATAATAGATTTAATAGTAAATATTGTACGTTCCAGATGTGACTGCCAATTGGTATTGATGCAAGTTCTCGTATACGCTCTAAGGATATGTGCGGCTATGTTGGACGAGCTAAAACGAAAAACTCCAGGTTTGTTTGAATTTCATGCTAAGGACAACGGACAACTCCTGTCGGTATTCCAGATACTTTTACATTCTAGTACTCATGATATAGGGGACTAGGGAAGTTTGATTAGTGTAGTTCGAGTGAAAGAGTTCATCTGGAAACACAGTAATGTCAGCATTACTATGTTCCGGTTTTGAAGGTTAAGGGTGCTGGTGAAATTACAGGCACATGGGACTTGTCAACTTATGTCTCAGGGTGACGAGCGCAGTGGCAATTCACCTAAGATCTTTGTGATTTAAAGCACTGAGTGGCACCGCAACTGTTATGGACAGGCGTGTCAATTACCACCAGGCGCACGATTTGTTCGACCTGTCACTTAGTGCCATAATAATTATACCTTTTTTATTTTAAAAAAACCGACTTCAAAATTTTTGTCAAGTTTTATTGAAATCGGCTAAAGGAAAGTGCGCGAAACCGGATTCATCCCCTAGTGTACCACCCCTAGAGATGGAATATTTTCTTCAAATGTAAATGGCACCAACACTTATTAAAATTATAAAGGAAACTAAAAAAACGTATAAATTCAAAAAAATACTTAAGGCCTATTTATTCGCCCAGAGAAACAAATAAACTTATACAACATACGTAACAACATATAAATTATTATGTATCCCAAATCTGTACTCGAAATGATTGTCACATCTAGTTATTGTCGATCTGTGTAACTCGTTTCAACCTTGTTGGTTCTGCGGCGCACTGGTTTGGCCTTATGTTTTTCGAATATACCCACACAAGCGAAGGTAAACAAAACATTAATATTTTCGTTAAAGTTATTTTTCTTTTTTTTATTTTCTTTAGTAGTACATAACCTAAGTTTTTATTTAATTATTATTATTTGTGTGTAAGGAAATAAGCACGCTCGCATAAGCAATAATATGTATACTTATTATTAGTTAGTTTCTTAAGTTCTCATTTAAGTGAATTGTAATTCTTATGAGAATAAATTTCTTAAACCAGAATACTGAGATACCCTCTTTCCAACAAAATAGAATCATCAAAATCAGTTTTCAAATCCTAGAGTAATCGTGTAACATACTGCATGTAATTTTAAAAAAACATTAAAAAAATACAATCGAATTGATAACCTCCTCCTTTTTTGATATCCATTAAAAAAGTTTCTTATTTTTATTGTTTTTTATATATTTTTAAAGATCTAACATTACATATCTATCTATAAATATATTTTATTTAGGACTTCAAACAATTTACCACCGCAAGATATTGATCTATTAAATATGCATGCGTCCTATCGGCATCGAAGTATATATAAAAATAATAATAAAAGTTCAGAGGTAAATGGTTCTTAGTCTCAGCCTTTGTATATTATAGCTTTTTTAAATTAAGACATTATATTAAATTGCCTGTAAAATATTGAAACTCTGCAGAAGAATCCGGTGCAACAGAGCTGCTAGCTGTATGCCGCGGCGGCACGCAAATCCTGTACAACAGCGCGCTACGCGACGTCGAGTTCAGCTCCCAGCTGGGTTACAACGAAGGGCATCTGATTGAGTTCTGCGAAACGCTTAAAACTTGGGAATGCAGCGGAAATTACAGTAAGTTGTATATACTCCGTACACAACACACGCGTACGTGCACTTTTTAAATAGCCTCATATTCAGTAGTGGACTATTAAAAACAATTGTTGCTTTGAGTCGTATTCACAAATTCATTTAATGGGCCATTTACGATGTTTAAACCTATAGTAAGACAAATTCTTCACACTATACACAAATAATATCATAGAATAATCAGTGATCACAATTAAGGGAGTTAGTATGAACGTTTTCTTAGTATGGACATACACATTTCGTCATCAATACATATAAAATTTAATTTTTTCACTGTTTAAACATTCCAAAACACAGTTAATGTTATAATTATTAATACAAAGATCGAACAATCAGAAAAAAATCCTTCGATCTAGCCGGATTCGACCCGACGTCTTCTAGCATACCGTGTAAGACGCTATACCAACTAAACCATGGAACGAACCAGCGGACCTCATGAATTTTTCTATGTGCTTGTGTCGTATCTTTGTATTTGGTTTTTCAACGACTTTTTAGCCGTAGCGCCATCTATGAGAAATCTATGAAAGTATTTCGTCACCCAAGTAGATACCTTTACAGCTACCAGCCCCGGTTAGAGATGTAGCTATTAAATTGTTATTGAAATGATATTCAATTATTTTTAATGTGAAATTACTTCACTAATTTGTTATAATTTATTAATACACACCCCTAATCTTGTTTCTCCCACACAAAACCATCATTATATGCTATTTAAGCACTGTAATCTACCAATGCTCCGTAGTAAGTGGTCAATAATGTTACAGGCAACATGCTGTCAGAAATATCAGCAACATTCCAGTCGTCTCCGGAGGATATGACGTCATCGTTCAACAAGCAGCCCTGGCTCCAAAGCTTCGACAACTTCTCTATTGTTGACTAGATTGTTTAAACAGTATAAAAAGCTGATTAATCAGGGATGAATTATCGACACCAGTAGATTGGTAAGATCGCGCGAGGACAGCTGATATTGGCGAAATATTACCGTCTATGTAATAGTTGATCTGCCTTGAGAGTCGATACTGCCTCAGCTAGAATTCAAATTTTTCCCGTACTAATGCGGTTCATTTATATAATATTCTTTATTGTACAAAGAAAAGAAACATGAAACACACGTTATAATGGACATATACAAAGGTGAGCTTATCTCTATAAGAGATCTCTTCCAGCCAACCCTAGCCGTGGTGCAAAAATGAAGTCTGCGGGACTAATTGTTGTACAACAAAATTAAAAATTTAAATGTGACTAAAATATAAATGATAATAATATACATACGACAGACATACACACATACATGAACTTTATATACATAAATACATACATAAGCAGAATATATATTATAATAACAGATCATTTGTTTACATTTGTAACATATTTATGTTACCTATAAACTATCTAACACGTTCGACAGGAAGTGCTCTTTTAATTTGTGTTTGAAAGATGCCACCGATGGACTGTCACGAATGTCAGCAGGTAGTTTATTCCACATACGAGCTGCACGTACGGTAAAAGAATTGTGAAAGAATTTGGAGTTGGATTGGGGATATAAAAGAGTTCTAGTGTCACAAGTACGTTTTGGGCGGGAATTGGGGGATAAGGGGGAAAAACGGGAACACAGATAATGAGGAAGCTGGGGGTAATTTAAAATTTTATAAAGAAGACAAAGAACGTGCATATCTCGGCGAAGTCTGATTGGGAGCCATTTCAATTTAGTCCGAAATTCAGAGACATGATCATATTTACGTAAACCGAATATGAAACGGATGGCCAGATTTTGTAGGCGCTCTAGTTTGTTAAGCAGCTCCTCAGTAACATCCAAATAACAAACATCGGCATAGTCGAGAAGAGGGAGTAGTAGGGACTGAGCAAGCATAACCTTGGTGTTGAAAGGTAAGAAGAATTGAAGCCGCTTGAGAGAATGATAGGAAAAGTGCATGCGTCGACTAACCTCATTTACCTGTGGTATCCAGGACAGTGTACGGTCGATTATCAGACCTAGGTTCTTTGTGTTTTCAGCATATGCAAGACTCACTCCATCATACGAGACCTTGGGGAGATTATTAATATCTAACCTGCAGTAAAGTCGGTTGCTACCTACAATTATTGCCTGTGATTTCCTAGGGTTTACAAGCAAACCAAACGCATCAGCCCAAGACTTCACCACAAGAAGATCCTTATTAATAGATTCAATGGCAGATTGGATATTGGCTCTATCAAAATGTCTATAAATTTGTAAGTCATCTGCGTATAAGTGGAATGGATTTTACTTGGGTCTAGTGGCTTTATTTCAATATTGATTTTTTTACAATCGAAATTGAAACCATTTCAAATATGTATATATGTATCGTATAGTATACGTGTTGTATTGTTAAGTACCTATTGAATATAGAAGTCTTCTTGTAAAATTTCGAGGTAAGTTTGTGTTTTTTTTGTATCGTGAAAATGTTCGTGTCTTCACACCGTATAGTAATTAATCAGTGTATATCCTCGATTTTACTATATATTTTTTACAAAGTGGTTGATTCGACACTTTGACTGTTATCCGGAATCAACCAAAGCCATTTGAGGTAGTGTACACTCTTAATAATAAGTTTCGTTCAATGAAAAATAAAAGGTATCAGAGATGCCTTAAAGAAATAAACAACTAAATGTTACATTGCCAACAAGAATTTACATTTGGACTAGAAGTATTCAAATAGACACTTCGACTCTTGAAACCGGGGAAGTTCTCAATATCTAACGCAAGCACCTCTATTATGAGTCCCCGATATGCCAGGGCTATTAGTTATAAATAGAATGTAATCTATTAACAAGGCGGTGTTGAATCGCCACATTGTCGGCAAATACATAAATGGCTTTGGAGTCGCAGCTTCAAATCCGCCATTACAACCCAATATCACAATATGATAAATAGAGTATCTCTCAGCGTAACGACATAATTTTTAAGAATAAAAAAATGAATTGTTGAAATATTTATTATTATATATAATTTGTACATAAACATTTAGTACTGATTGTTTGATGGAAATGAGAAATAAACGCTGTTTTATTTTCAGTAATTTCTGTTTTATTTATAGAAAACATTTAATTTTTTACATTGCATAAATTAAGTGTATGTTGGGGAAAATATATTAACAGATAATTGAGAAACTATAATACATAGTTACTGGAAAACATAGATTTGTATCGTACATATTTAAATTCAAAATCCGTTCAGGTCTTCATCACCGATACTGTCGTTATCTGTCAATTGACGACAGTGTCGGTGTCATAAATTATCATCTTACTAAGGATTTACATAGATGCAAAAGTTGAAGTTCAAAGAAGAAAACATTTTGCCGCGTCTTGCCATCTCTTCTGCAGAACACGAAGACTTATAAAACTATATCATTATTGCCACTGCTACAGAAATATATTCAAAGAAGAAAGTCTTATTCTTATTGGAAATCAATGATCTTATTAATTTTAAATAGTATTTTTTTTAATTAAGAAATTGTTAAAGATTTGGTTTTATGGATTTATTTAAAGTCGTAATACCAATATTAAAAAAAATAATTGAATTAATCATCTCTACCAACGGACTATCGATACTACTGCAGCATAACTATCCATAGAGCGCGATGATGCTGCACTAATTTTACATTGCTTGGAATGCGTACGGCATCAATGGCTACATTTTATTGCTATTCAGGCTAGAATGAATAGGGATTTTTAGACGCGTACCATCTCGGTTAGAAAGATTGAGATTATAGCCGAACGAGCTTTAAATTAAATGTACATTTAAATATATATATATATATATATATTTAAATGTATATATATATATATATATATATATATATATATATGTATGTATATTTGCCACAAACCAACAAAAAGTCTTATTACTCTAAGTCTAATAATAAAAAATCTCTTTATTTAGGGCAGGAATTTTCTGTGCTATTTTCTCTTCCGAAAATACCCAAAAACAGGAATGTTCCGATAACAACTTTGCAAATACAATATTTGTATTGCAATTTTGACCAATTTTGACACGTGTTTCCTATCAACATTAACAAGATTTTGAAAACAGTATAAATTCCATGTCAATCTATTCTTTTTTTGCAAAATATATGAAAATAAAACATAATACAGATGTAACAAAGAGCAAGGACATTAGCAAAAATAATAGTAAATATAAATTTCGGATCGAATGATTAGTAGTAACAACATAATAGCACCTTTTTTAGATCCTTTAATATAGATAGCTACATAAGTATTAAAGAATGACAAGGAACTATTTGACCCTGAATAATGGCGCTATTGCCGTCCTCATTCACATGGCTATTCGTATTTCATATATTTGGCAAACAATCACCATATCTAAATGGCATGTGTGACAAAGTATTAGTCTTGTTTGCCTATTCGACAAATACACACCAAACTTGCTTCACCGCGCGCTTTGCGGCTTCTCGACGCGCATCAAAGGAACCAAATAGGCAAATACGCAAGTAAAACGGCCTGTTCATACATGTCATGTATGTTCAGTATGGTCATATTCATTATTTTGACTCCTTATTTGGCTCCATGTGTAGACGGTCATATTTGTCAGTACGACAAATATTAATCCAAGTACATCAAACACCCAATCACGAATACAAGGAGCCATGTGAAGTGTTGGCATAACATTACATGTGGACGCCTTTTCAGTTGTCATAAGATGCCATTACTATCTTGCTCAATAGACGGCAAACTACAAGTACAAATCTAACTGTAGTATGAATATTAATTAGATGTCCGAAATGTAAACAAAGGCGATAATCTAGTGAATAATGCAATACAATAATTATAAGAAAAGACCATGTTTTGTCGTAAATAATTTTATGACACTGGTAACACAATCGGAATCACAAAAATTTTTTGTACCGTCATTTTGCGGTGTCATAGATATCATTCTTGCTTCGTTTCTCGAACTCAAATTATTTTTTGTCTCAGTAGAGCGTTTGTTAAATTATTGTGTATTGCTGTCAAAGTTTTTGTTTAGTGTTCATATTTTGTTATAATTAAAATTGTAGAAAATGAGAACCTCCTTCTTTTCCAATTTCGTTAAAAATAGAAGGTTTAGCATCTCTGCATGCACACTTAATGACATTACACATTTCTTTGTTTACATTTTGCCCATCTAATTATGATTCATATTTTTTTACCATAAATAATATTGACTGTTGAAAGAGGAATAAACATGGAAATTTAAACATTAATGGCAGTAAAAACCTCACTTAGGTTATTATTTTTGACAACCTTTTAATGTGTTTATATTAGTAACGCAGAATCTACTTTAAAACACGACCCCTTATGTATTCTTAAAAATTCTATGACTCAAAATTCTTAACTAAAAGTAACGACTCAAGTAGTAATTAACTTAAATATCAACTTTATATTACGAGTTATTAACACCAAACAGTCACTAAACGAAAAAATAAAATTTCGGGAAATGTCCATTAGAGTTCCTGAAAGAAAGTTTACATTTTAAAAAGCGTGATTTTTGTTTAGAGACAGCTTGGGTTTCAATGTATCGTATTGAAAGATTTCTTTTAAAATAAAGTACATTATTGTAATGTTCCACACCAATACTAGTTTATAAAATACTATAGAGGACACTACACTCGTCACAATTTCAATAGTAATATATTCATACTTTCCATTGAAACAACACTATCTGGTTGCTTTAGTATGCGTACTGTTGAACTACAGAAAACTGTATATCAGTGATGTACGGAAAATGTGGTACATTCTTTATGCAAATAAAAAATCTATCTACTAATAAAAAAATTACGGTTTAACAGAGGACACAGCGGGCGCTAGCGTAGGTACTCTAACAGTAGTAGTGGTAAGAATATCAATAGTAGCTGGCTTATGGAAGAAATATAACATAAACCCAGCAGCTAATAGGAAATGGCATGCTAAAATTGACCCAACCAAAATTAGGAAATATTTAGATTTTCTCAATGCTGGTAGGAGCCAGAATATTAGTACAGCGCCTGAAACTGAAGCCGCCATGAGGACAAGAAGCCATTGGAGCCAGCCCACTTGGATAGTCCAGAAGATAGCGACTGGTATGTAGATGGAAAGGGAATATCCATACAGACAGAAGAGGGAGATCATTGTCGGTGAACTGGAGACCTGAAAACATTTTATTTTTGGTTTTTGCCTTTCCAAACGTAATTTTCCTTACAACACTATTTCCATCTAATTCCCTAATTTTACCATGTAAGTGATTGCATTAGCAACCTAATTTGTGAAGCAACATTAACATCGAACCTTTATGTAGCATATGTAATTAGCATGTAAAGAATTTGGTTGTAACTGTAAGCTGCAAGCAAGCACTGGATTTATCACAGTTTTACTAGTATCTCAAAGGCTGAAGATTTCACTGAAAGTCATGTTCAATAAGAATGTACAACACATCTAGTAAATTCATTGATGCTTTGAACTTTACCTGGGCGTCAATGTCATCCTGTCCATCTGGCACAGAGGTCCATTTAAGTGCAGCCCACAGCGCTAATGGCACAATCCACACATAGCACATGATGGCGGTGGCCGCGTATGAGACGAGGTGGAAGTCGTAACGCCAGTGGCCAGCATTCTGACTGTGCAAATAGTTTGCTATGTTGCCACTCACTGCTATTGTAAAGATCTGGAATATTAGAGAATGATGAATTGATTTTTATTTATTCAATCGTAATATTATGAGTGATGCACTAAATGGCTTCTTCAATTGATTACATGCACAGAACTACCGTAAGTGATGTTGTCACTTGTCCAATTTTTCAGTATTACGATTTGATGGTTTTGTGCTTTGGATTCAGTGTTTATGATAATGTCAATACCAAAAACATAACATTATGGTTAATTGCAATTGGACCTAGAGCAATCCAACCATTACCAATGGCAAACCTTCTAAGTCTTCATAGAATTAAAGTAAGCCATGTTACCGAGTTCAACTTTGTGGCCTGATTTCTTTACACTGGTTACATTAGTTTGAAATTTGGAGAGCAGACTGTCAGACCTGGATGTGAAATGTGATGCTGTCAAGGTTCAAACTTCTGCAGCCATCTTTTACTACTTTGTCGACAATGTACTTACATGTCGCCACTGTTTGAATGTTTATCAATAAGATAGGCTACTGTAGCCATCTAAACGCACGAGAAAAGTTGAACAACAGCAGCTCTCATTCTAAACAATAGCAGTGGCTGTAGCCAAAACTAGGATAATATATAGTGGTTATAATACAACAATTGAACATGCTATTGGGAATAGCAGAGCACCAAGATCCTGAAGCAGAGCTAAGTACCAATTCATCAGAGAGTGAAAGTACAACATAATTGCCATGATATCCTTTGCTCTAGTTAACTTCGGACTAATGATGACTCTGGTGGCCCAGTGGTGACTGTTTTGGGCACTAGAAGAGTAGTAGAAATGTATCTAAATTGATTCCAGTCTGAATGTTCTAGGTATTATAGTGCAATCAAAGCCTATACTCTAATAATTACAGTCTACAAAGATGCCTAGTTTGAGACCAGATAGTTAACCAAAATATTATTTTATTTCTCTGGTTCCTACAATTCCACTATAACATTTTTATTGTTTTTATTGTCACCCATTCGTAATGAATCACTTGAACTGGTAATTGTCCAATCCTTTATTTTTTTATCATAATGTAAAGAATCAGGTAGATACTTTAATTAAGGAACTTTGGAACAAAGACTGATAAATTTCGATTTTAATTTTGTTTAGTCTCATTGACAGAATTTGTCACACTGTGTTCAGATCCGTGCATTTAAAACATATTTTTAAAGCTGATTGAGTGGTTGATGTTCAGGTTGGTTAAATTATTTGTAGAGATGAACAAAAACTACCATTGACATTAGGAGAGAAAAACAAATCAAAATGTGACTTTTCGGTTTTTGTTTATTAGAGTATTGACTCCTCAATTATAAGTTTTTTTATGATACTAAGTGTTGGGACGCACTAGTAAACGACACGCCTGTCCATAACAGTTGCAGTGCCACTCATAGCTATAAATCGCACGGATTTGAGGTCCACTGTCTCTGTGCCCATCACCCTGAGGCCTATAGTCCCTACCAGCCTCCTGGTGGGGACAAGTGCACTTTTTTTCCACTAGATGCTTATACGAGCGCTGCAGTGATGCCACTATGGCACTACATCCGCATCACTACTAATTTTCATACAATATTTAGAAGTGCAGCTGCAGTGCCACATACACGCCACATTTGCAGACTAGATATTATATGAAAATTCAGCAGTGGCATGGCTGCCACGCCACAATGTGCTACGGCAGTGCATCTGTCAGCGTCTAATTTGAAGGCGCCCAATTAGCAGGTAATAAATACCATGCTTTAAAATAAATAGTTATACTTTTCATTGATATAGTTTTACTCTCGACTGTACTTATTAATAGAAACGGTTGGGTAACTTTTTTCCACACTTCCCCACCAACCAGTGATGGTGTGGTGGGGAAGTGTGGAAAAAAGTGCCCTTGTCCCCGCCGGGGGGGACAGCTGGTTGGGTCTAGTGGAATAGGCTCACCCTGAGACATAAGTTGAAAAGTCCCATGTGCCTTCAATTTCACCAGCACCCTAACCCTTCAAAACTGGAAAGCAGTAATGTTTACATTCAGAAATAGGTAAGGTGGCAGTACTGCCCTGGGTGAACTCCTTCACAAGGAGTTCTACTCCTACTAATGTTCACCTACTGTTAAATGTGTTAACATTGAACCTTATTGAAAATCATACTTAAAATCATCATAATTCATACTCTTCTACACAATCGGAATAACAAAATAAGGCTACTCACCAAAGTGAAAGATATCCATATAGGTCCATACAAATCAGGTTTCCCCTTGATGCGCTCATCAAAATAGTTGCGTGATACCTTCTGTGGCAACACCGAAGATATTATCCGTTCCACCACTTCATTTGTGTACACATCAAAGTACTTCTGATAGTATTCTATGGTCCAGAAGTTGTGATTTGCTGTCAATTTTAATGTTGTGCTTAGAAAATGTGTCACTGATATGTAAATACACAACATAACATTTATCACATAAGATATGGTTATCTGTACTAAATACACAAGATGATATGATGACAAAATAGAATGCATACACTTTTATATATTATAATCTCATAGTATAAGACGTTATAAACTTTATAATAGTCATAACTCAATGGAAATAATAGCCTTTTGCAACAAAATGTGTTGCAATTAAGACTTTGAAATCGATTATCATCGAAAATATTATCATCCGAAAAACCATTCTACTCACATTTAGGAGTTTCCATAGATTCCTCAGCTACCTTAGGTTCATCAAAATTATAATTGGGGTTGTTATAACTCTGGTTAGACATGGTGTTATTATATTGATTGGTGTGTACCGCTTCCACGTCGATTCTCGCACTACGCTCATTGTGCTCAGGGGAATAGTCCTGGAAATTGAGTAATTCGCCTGTGTTAACGTTCGACATGATGGTTAAGGGTGTAAAAACTCCTAATTTCAACGAATTATCGGTACAATTGCGAGAAAAATATTTTTCCTGACTCTCGTCAGCACAAAGCACGTCAGTCGGTTGTCAAAAATGACAATCTACTTTTTCACTTTTCAGTTCTGCTGCCCTACCGAGTTATGTCGATTTTTGGAAAAGTTACGGTTTTCTCTATCTCTATGTATTGGTCAATGTAATCTTAACCTACAGTGTCAGTCAATTCACACCGGACTAAACAAAGAATTTACTAACTTCATCTAAACAAACAAACTTAGAACTTTTTGAAATTTCGTAAGCAAGTCAGCTGTTTACTGATGGATTTAAAAAGGAATTAAGATTTCTTATTGTTGAACAATGATATACAAAAATGTATTTACTAGTCAGATCAGACGCGGAATTAAGTTAAAACAAACTTTAAAAAATTACAGCGTTATAGCTTCTGTTTTGGAGAAAGCGAACATCGGTGAGGTTACTGAGGTTAAGGTTTGTGTTGATGTTACTTGAAAACTATGATAATTTTGACTGTAAATAGCTGTATATGTAATTATATATTTCAGGGATGGGTTAAGAACTTACGAAAGCAAAAAGACCTAACGTTTATTGACGTAAACGATGGATCTACCTCACAAAAACTTCAGATCGTAATACCGAAAAATCTGAACACTAACGATCTCACTTACGGTAGTTCCGTGCTTATAACAGGCAAACTCTCCAAAAGTCCCAAAGGGCAGTTGGAACTAGTCGCCGAACATGTGAACGTAATGGGAACTTGCGTCGTTTCGGATGGTTACCCTTTTAACCCAAGAACTGCCCATCCTCCTGAATACATACGCCAATTCCTGCATTTAAGATCACGAACAAATTACTTTTCAGCTATACTGAGAGTACGCAACTCCTTAACGAGGCACATACACAACTATTTTGAATCTAAAAACTATCTTCATGTCCATACACCAATATTAACGTCAAATGATTGTGAGGGAGCGGGTGAAGTATTTAAAATACAGCCAGATAATGAAATAACTGTTAAAGCTATGATGCAGGAAGGTAGAGATAAAGATTCAGTATATTTTGGCACCAAAACTTTCTTAACTGTGTCGGGACAGTTGCACCAAGAAGCTATTTGTCGGGGCATGGGCAATGTGTACACTCTAGGACCAACATTTAGAGCGGAGAATTCAAGATCAAGACTCCATTTGTCCGAATTCTACATGCTAGAGGCAGAAATAGCTTTCTGTGATACCCTTCAAAACTTGCAAAATGTTATAGAAGATATGTTAAAGTATTTATTTATTAAAACTCATGAGAGTAATGCAAATGATCTGCATATTATTGATAAAGAGAAATCTGTATTGCCTCTTTGGGTTAATAAAGAGTTTGTTACAATGACTTACAATGAAGCAAAAGGAATTTTAGGGAAAAGAGGTTTAGATATGACAGATGAAGGGATAAATAAGGAACAAGAGCTAGCTTTGGTGGAATATTGTAATGGTATCCCTGTATTTGTTATCAAATGGCCTAAGGAACAGAAGTCTTTCTATATGAAGGAGTGTCAAGATGACAATACCAAGGTATTAAATTTTTTTAATACGCACTGTTAATACAATAGTGTATTAACTCAGAAAATAATAATAATAACGTACACACTCAACATAACCTCGCACTAGGGAAACTCTGTATCGCGGGTGCCATGGACACACACATAGACAACCACAAATTACATCCAAACCATTGACTTACAAATAAATGGACGACAGGTCTAGTACAAAAACCATGAAAAAAATGTCCCAAGTCAACCTATTTAAACGTAGTGACATGTAAAGGAATATGAAAAAGCTAAAACTTTGAATTTAAATTGTAATGTCATCGCAGTACTGTCTAATTGTGCTTGCTTCGCTGTCAGTCGAACAAACGAAGACTAAAGCGTGAATGACGCTCTGTATACGATTTTAACGCCCTATAAGTTCGGACACTTTTTAGCGCGGACCCGACGTCCATATAATTTTAAGTCAATGATCCAAACTCACGAGAGAAATAAATGTCGACATATGGTCGAAATGTTTCTCCCAGCCCAGGAATCGAACCTGGGACCTCTGAATAATTTAATATTTTTGAATAAAGGATTATTTTGGCCAGAACTAGCTCATATAAACTGTGTCCCATTTTGAGTTAAGTGGATATCTTTTGATTGTTTCTTACAATATTCTAATGATGGCTTTTTTTGATGTGTATAGTCAGTGTATAGAATCAAATTTTACGTTCAGTAATGATATAATGAGATTAGCATGGGATCATGGAGAATGGCACAGAAACTTGGAGGCCTATACCCAGCAGTGGGTGCAGTCAGGCTGTATTTGATGATGATGATGAATGATATAATATTAAATTTCACACATTTTGAGTTACAACACTTTTGTGACAGTTACAACACTATGTTAAGAGTGTTGAGTGTGTAATTCATTGTAATAGCAGCGTGTGTTAGTAATTTATAAAAAGATAACTATTTCACAATTAGAAGGTGAAAAATAATTTTACTGTTTTTACAATTGACTTTTTTTTTCACTTTGATAATGATGGCACTGTTGCATACTTCTTTTTTTTAATTAAATTGAATGAATATTTGTGATATTGTAGATTTTTTCTGATTTTCAAAGTGTGCATTAATATGCACATCATCATCAAATCGAAAGAGAAAAGAAAAAATGAAAAAGGAATTAGCTTATAAGTAGTGATCGGAATTAAGAGAGTGAATTTATCTAAAGTATGAACATTTCCTTGTCATGAACCCATTTCGTCATCAATGCATATAAAATTTCTATTTTAACTGTTTATTTTCTATACAGACTAAAATATAGGTTGCCTCGTATTTATTTTTTAATTAGCCAAGGTATTTAAATAAGTACGTAACTACCTGTAGAAACACAACTACGATTTTTTTTTTAAACAATAATTTGTAGCTAATTTTGATATTTAATGTGATGTAATATTTTGACGCCAATGTACTCAAATTTCAATAAATAATGCGCATATTCAAATATAATCAATTCTGAGAAGTATCAGGATTTGTTGAAGGGAATGACTACGTTATTCTCTTTAGTTTAGATAAATTAACTCTCAATTCCGATCATTGCTTATAATCCTTTACAAATGTTTATAAAACTTGTTCAAAAACATTGAAAGCAATAATAAATCAATATACCATATATGCATAATGCTACACATAATAATAAAGACTTGTAGTAGTAAGTTTAGTTAAAGTATCTTGTGTTTGGAGTAAATAAATTAGAAAACTTTTATTACAAAATTACAGCTTTATATTGCTGAGATTACGAAGTTGTCAAGTCAGTTCTTCTATAATAAATAACTAGTCAACTTTTGCCCATTCCAGGTGGACGCCCTCGATCTATTAGCCCCGATAACCGGTGAAGTTGTCGGCGGTAGTCTCCGCGAAAACAGCTATGACAAACTTAAAGCTAAACTTCCATCCGATAGACTTAACTGGTATCTAGAATTGAGAAAATTCGGTAATATACCCACAGGCGGTTTTGGACTAGGTCTAGAAAGGTTTCTACAAGTTATTTGTGGTGTTAGTAATATTAAAGACACTCTGCCTTTTCCTAGATGGCCGCATAATTGCGATATGTAAGGACAGCTTGTTGTATTTGTTATTGTAATGTTAATAAAGATGTTATTAAGTGAAATATATATTTTTTTCTAGCTGTAAATCAACAAAGTAACATTGTACCGTCCTGTTTATGTTTACCTATTATTTGTTTATGCTAACCGGTCGGCTAGTTAACTGTTGGCATATGATTTCTTAAGCCCGAGTAACAAAATCTAAACTACTTTGTAGTGTCCACCGCTAGATGTCGCTGTACGAGTTTTTTGAGTCTGAACATTATCCCTAGTTTTTGGAATGGATTACTTTTGTATATTAATATTATAATAAAATGCACGTATTTCAGAAACTAAAAAGCAATAAATGCATGTACAACAACAGTGGAAAAAATTGTGAAACATTTTTGGGAACTTGAAAACAAAAGTGATATTTCAGAGTTTGCGGTGTTTAGATTGTCACTTGACAAGTGACTATGTCAAAGTATTGCCATAGCAAAGTGTGTTGGAAGTCCTATAAGTTTGTGGAAAGAAAATTAGGCACTATGAAACTGAAAATGTATCAATTTAATTTTTTCGACATCTTTCTTTGAACACGAATATACAACTGACGAAACCGTAAAGTCGCCATGACAAGAGCTTGCGTTATAGACAATTATATATACAAACTCTAATAAAGTATACTTTCTTATTAAGGAAAGACACAGCGAACGAATAAAACAACTTTCTTTTCCTAACACTAAATTAAAACAGTAGTCCTCTGGTCTACCCAGCAGATATCGAACTATAA